TCGTATTCATCGTATTCATCGTATTCATCGTATTCATCGTATTCATCGTATTCATCGTATTCATCGTATTCATCGTATTCATCGTATTCATCGTATGTACCGTATCCGCAGTATGTATCGTGTTTATCGTATTTATACGCCATGTAACATATACTGATAATGTGCTGTGGATGCTATATTCGATAAGTTTTAGTCATACAGATCAATTATATCGACACCCCCATGTATATATTTACTCATATTCTTTAATCATTAACTATAATCTACCCCATATATCTTTACTCATTTACTTTACTTATATGCTATACTGTTTCCCATATATCTCTACTCATACTCTATCCCATATATATTAACTCATATTTTTTACCCATGCTATAGGTGGGATGCAGAGGCGAGAGCGGGGCTCTGCTACTATGCCAAGGAACAGTACAGAAACAGGTTCTTGTGGGAAGAGACGTGTGTGGTGAGAGTGCAGAGATGGGTTAGGGAGCGGAGGAGGCACTTTGTGTGGACAGCAGCTACTCGGCAGCACCGCTTCGGGGTGGCACAGGTATGCTATTAACATGTGATTAATATTACTATATGTATTATATTTATTATATGTATTATATTTATTTTATGTATTATATTATGTTATTATACTACAGCAGATACGGGGTAGCACAGGTATGATGAACATTCATGATTTTATATTATTTCAATATTAGTATATTATACTATATTATGTTATTATGTTATTATGCTATTCGCCAATTCTATTACGGTGATACTGATGCTGATACTCATACTGATACCGATACCGAAACTGATACTTTTTAAACCCCGCAGGAGGTACTGAGGAGGTTCAATCGCTTCCCCAGGAGTGCCTTGATTCGCGCAGAGCTGGTGCTGATCTCCCTACACCCCAAAGGTAATTATTTAATCCCCCTATATTGTGTATTTAACCCCCCCCCCCTTGTGCTGAAATTGTGTATTTAACACCCCCCATTGTATACTATATTGCGTATTCAAACCACTTTACACCTTAGGCCCCCGGCGGCCGCATGCCATCCACACAGCGGCCGATGAGATCCACAGTCAGGGGGGGGCTGTGCAATCAATCGAGAAATCCTTCAGGGCATTCCTGTGCCGAAAAGGTACGTACTATATACTATACTTAAATATTGATATCTCTCCCCCAAACACACTCTAACATACATCCTCCCTCACACTCTATCACTCCTTAACACACACACTCTCAAACACACTTCCCCACTAATACACACTCCCTCACTCCCTCCCTCACACACACACACACACACACACACACACGCACACAAACACACAACCCCCACACAAACTCTCACTCCCACGCACTCAATCCCCTATACACACAAACTCTCTCACCCCCCCCCCCATACAAACACAAACACTCTTACACTCTCACACACTCTACTTCACACACAGCGCTGCACAAGCGCGTTATGGCTTGCCGAGAGAGGCAACACGTAAAGGCATTCCGCGCAGTATGTGTGATTCAATCTGTCTTTAGACGCAAAAAAGCCGTTATTTTCGTGGACACTTTGAGGGTTACAAGGTTCCTCTACATAGAGGCAGCGAGGGTTTTGCAAAAATGGTGCCGCAAGCGCCGCAACTCGTTCTACCACCTCGTGCACTGGAAACGCACAGAGGTAGAGCCAACCTGTACTAGTATAAGCCCCCTTTATACTGTGTAACCCCCTCTATACTATAATCCTAACCCCTAACCTTTACCCCCACCCTTCCCCCACCCCTTAACCCGAACCCTAACCCACACCTAGGTGGCCCGCAAACGAGCCTGGGCTATGCGTGTTTTGACAAATAAGCTGCCCTCTCTGGTGCTCACATACCTCATGCTGCACAGGGTATGTAAAATTTAACCCATATTTAATAGTAAAAATCCTATAATAGTATATGTATAACAGTACAAACCCATACTTATGTATGTTATAATAGTATAAAAAACCATACTTATGCTTTAACAGTGTGAAACCCAATGCTATAACATTATGCCCTCTACAAATATTAATAACATATGAAGATGCTATACATATTAATAACAAACCCCCGACACATAACAACATTATGATAACATAACCCCCCCCTCAATTACTGTTAAAATATAACATCATTAAACCTCACTCTCTTACCCTCCCCCCTTTCCCAGGTAAATCTCCTCCTCCGTGAGCGGAAAAAGGCCGACGATGCTGCGTGGCAGGGGCAGATCGCGGAGCGCCTCCGACTAGAGGGGGAGTCCAAATTGATCGCTAATTACCACAAAGCCAAGCACTCAAAGTTCCTGTCCAAGCTATCGCGATCCGCTGACGAGCAGTAAGCTTACATGTGTAAAATATGTGTATCAACCCCCTCTTATATACGTATATGTGTATTAACCCCCTCTACCTGTATACCCTTGTACTAACACCCCCACAGGAGATTAGAGGCGGATTTCAGCTTTTCTGCGCTGGATGTGGTCAACGCCGCAAGTGTGGACCCGCAGGTGCAAAACCCATCCTCATCTATGCTTACAGTATAAAAACCATAATCTATGCTTTAACAGTAAAAAACCCACTTCTCCATAAAACCCATATGCAGGCCTCTTACGCGGTGCCCGGGGTGGACATAAAAGACCAAAAATTCGTGCGGGCGACGCAGCAAAAGACCATTTTCTGCCAAGAGGGTTTTTCTGCTGCGGACTGCATGATGCTGAGCATGGTAGGGCCACCTGCTATGTACAGTATACGAATGTATGCTATAAACCCCCTTCTGTACTACTATAAACCCTCCCTTTCCACACCCTATTAAACCCTCCCTTTTTATGTACTACACCCTTTCCATGTACCTACTTATTAAACCCTCACTCTATACCTATTTTACCCCCTAGGTGCTGCGCAGCCCCGCTTGTGCCTGCAAGGTGCTCGTGCTGTACCTGCTGAAGTGGGACGCGTGCTTCGACGACCTGCTAGACGCGATACGCCAGAACCACTCACTACGAGCAGTTTATATACTAGGTATATATCGTATACTATATAATATATTCAATATTCCATATATTCTAAATTCTATATACGACATAAACTATATACCACTCACCTAGAGCAGTCTTCATACTAGGTATATATATTAATACCATATCATATACAATACTTTATTAT